GTTCTCGAAAAAGTAATTTTTGTAAATAGTCTCAGATGGCCTGTTATGTGACAAAGGATGTGGAATCCTCCTAGTGTCAACAAATGCGCATATTGGGAAGTGGGGTTGTAGGTAGTTGTTAGCACATATTAACGGAAAACTTGCGAATTCTTAGCTTAATTTAACTTAACCGCATTTGTTAACCTTCGCAACCTTCAGGTTTTGTGGAAGGTTTATCTGTTACCCAGACTGATACCAACATCATCTTAAAAAATGTGCAATACTTATTTCTAAAAGGAAGACTTGCTCAGTTGTGAATCTACGATTCAATTTGGGGTCTTTTAGTAGTGATGTGCCTTTAACATTTCCTCATAATTGATGGATTTATTAACTCTAAATATCAGTTATCATTTCTTGATTCTTTTTTAGGTACAACCCTTCGAAGATCGTGGTGTAGTCACTGTGCAGTCGGGTTTCACTGGTTTACGTAATATTGGGAACACTTGTTTTATGAATGCAACATTGCAAATGCTTGTAAATAACATTGAGCTCAAAACATACTTCTTGGAAAAACATTACAAACTGGATATCAACCCGAACAATCCGCTTGGATTTAGGGTGAGTTTTCGGTTTTTTAGCTTAGCTATTGGGTGCAAGCAAGCATTGTGATTGTAGGGACGTCTTGCTGAAGCCTTCGCTGATTTCATGAGACATATGTGGAATTGTCAGAATCGCGCTATCGAGCCAGCTAAAATAAAAGTATAATGGCAAATTTTTATAGATTTTGAGCGAGTGCAGAGCATATGTTGCCTGTTTAGGAACTTGTTGCTGAAAAAGCGTCTCAGTTTGCAAACTTTGCTCAACACGATGCACATGAATTCTTGTCGTTTTTGCTGGATGGGCTTCATGAAGATCTTAACAGAGTAAAATCGAAACCACTTACGACAACTGTGGAAGGTGATGGCAGATCAGATGTTGATGTGGGTAGTGTTTCTCCTTTGCATCTGAAATTTTGGCTTTGCGAAGGCTACTTCATCCCCCTTTTCCCGCTCTTGAAATACTCCTTTATTGGAACCCTCTCTTGTTCTGCTCTCATATAATGGGGGAAAGGAGAATTGTTTGAAAAAAGGATTTTCAACAAAATATTGTTGACTTCTTACTTCGTTCTCATATACATCGTGTTTTCCATAGATTTAATATTTCAAAGATTTAGGTGTCGAATGAGGCTTGGTATAACCACACGCTAAGAAATGACTCCATATTTGTGGACTTGTTCCACGGTCAATTGAAATCCCGCCTGCAGTGCCCAAAGTGTGACCGGGTCTGTGTTTTATTTTTTGAGGTTCTTTACTATTTTTTTGTGTATTGCAAAATCTCGATCTTCAGGTATCCATAACGTTTGACCCATTTGTGTACCTACCTGTGCCATTTCCAAAAGTCAAGAAGTCCACTACATTGTTTTTCTGGCCTATTGATCCTCTGCTAAAGCCTTTGGAGGTAAACAAATTGAGTAACACGCGACTTAAATTAACAAATAGACTTTTAACAGCGTGTTTCGGAAACTGCTCCAAAGCTCTTTGTTCTTTTTAGCCTTCAATTTCTAACTTTGGTTTTATGAGTTTTCGTGGGACAGTTTAGATGTTATCTGAGTGTCACATATGTTAAACTAATATAAAAGACATATATTAAGATCACGGTGCAGTATTCGTCTGAAGGTACGGTACAAGATCTTCTCGGAGCTTTATCTGAAGTCGTGCGAGTTCCTACTAAAGCTGTAAGTAATTTTATGACCTTTCTTTTGAGGTTAAATTCCAGCTACGATTAATTTCCGGTCATTTTTCCTACCTGTTTACAAAGCTTTTTTTTCAAGATATTCTAATTTTTTGTTTTCTAACGTCGTTTTTCACATTTAGCTCCGTCTTGTCGAAGTGTTCAGCCATCGTATACAGAAGATCTTCTCGCCAGCCGACAAGGCCAGTGAAATTTGCAGTGGAGATGTGTTGTATGCGTGAGTTTCGTGGCTTTTATCTTTTGTTTTTCTTACAGTCTATTTTTTTCTATTGTTGGCTCTCATCTTATTAACTGCGCTTTGGAACAGAAATCTGTTTAGCTTCCAAGTTCATGATGCAGCTGACTGCAACGAACCGGTAATTGAGCTGTTGGTTGTAC